TATATTAATTTTTATGTTGATTTTTTTTTAGCTTATCTTTTTTTTTATTGGTATAAAAAAATTCAAAATTTTGAGGGAACTCTTGAGATTTTTCAATAGGGCTCGAATCCCTGCGCGCCTCCCGCCCCCCCCTTCCCAATGTACTGTTTATAATAATTGCTTTTAGTACTTCTATATTTTCATTCTGGCCTTATAATAATTTTTGGAATTTTTTTTCCATTTTATAAATTACAATTTCTTTAATTTAATACTGTCTACTATACAAATTCGAGGCCATAAACTAAAAATATAGGCACCACACATTGGCATAATCTTTAGTATTAGTTTTTCTGAAAGTTTGGCTAACTTCATGATACTTTTTATCCTACTTATAATTATATATTTTTTTAGTGGCATTCAAAACCTAAAGGATGAATTACTAATTAACTTAGGCACTAAATATCGAAAACCAGATATCGTGCTTATAATATTTTGTTCTGGTGCAATGTAAATTTTTTTTCTTTATTTATAATAAATTTTATTTCCTTTTACAGTCTAACGGATTGAAGCACTAAAATATAAATAAACACTACATAGTAATATATGTTTTAGAATTAGTTCCTTCCAAAAGTTTGGTTAATTTTAAGCTGAGTAGAATATCGTAATTTTTAATTTCTTGATATTCGATTTCTGGTTTGTAGGTAGCGAAGCTGATGAGAAATTAATAAGAGTAAGTCCCATGATTGGCTATGATTATTTTTTTGTGTGAATTATGTTATAAAACTAATAACAATATTTATATAAAATATAAGCAATTTGAATTGTTAATTTTATCATCAAATAAAAAAAATTTATAAAGTGATTTTTTTAGAAGGAGATGCTAAAACAATTTCATTTTAAAATATTTTTTTATAAAATTTCTCAATTGAATAAGGCTACTTTGATAATTTCCAATTATACTGTTCAAGTTTCAAATTCAATGATTAAGATTTATTATATTATATTTTTGATTTTTTTTACGTTTCTGCATATTAATAATATATAATTTATGGCCATTATCAATTAATGTCCATAATTATTAGTAGTATATCGATTTAAAACAATTATTACATGAAAATAAACAGTCTCAAAACCACGAAAAGTATAATTTACAATTGTTGTATCATATAAATGGAATAATTACTATATAAACTTTTTTTAAACCTTATTCGAATATGCATTTTCAAATAGTTATTTTATATAATTAACGTTTTAAGTTTATACTGGATTTTCCTTTAAGAGTAATTTATGGCATAGCAGGGAAGATCTAAATATGCTATATTACACTTATTTAAGAAAAATTTTACTTTATAAAAGACTTTTAAAAAAAATAAATATCGCATATTAAATTTAAGAGCTAATCCAAAATCATAAATATGAATTGGCATAGTTTAATGGTCTATATGTAAGTAACCCGAATGTAACAACTTTTTTAAAAACATTTGATAAAACAGAAGACAAATTTGGTTAAGTTCGACATCTACCTATATACTACTATACATGGGTCTAGGAAACACAATATTTTAATCGTTTTTAGAATTCGATTTATTACTTTAATTTTTTTTGGATAGATTTTGTGTTTTCCAATATAACTAGCTGATAGCCCGTCAATCCCCTTTATTTGATGATGAATGAATCAGAAACTTCACTATCTTATGAGGTGTGATTCAGAAATTCACTTTTATTTTGAGGAGGGGTTATTTTAATTTTACCTTATTTTGATAAAATTTAATGAAATATTTAATACTTTTAATTTATGTGCTCAATAAAAATTCTTTTTAACGAAATTTTAATTCATTTGTATTTGTAATTTATATAACCTAAAAATCTATTTTAGCTGGATGAGAGTTTTGGGTAACTTATTTTCAATTTAATATGGCCGACAGAACCTTCATCTAGCAAAATATACATAAGAATAAAATTCGGTTCAAAATTTTTTTTAAACGAAATATATATACTTCATTAACAAATTTTATTGAAATAAAAATAATAGAAAATTTTAAAATAACCCATCAAAATAAAAATAAATTTCTGTATCACACCTCATAAAATACCCATCCATCATCAAATAAAGGTGAAATTTATTTTCCACCTGTCACTGAATAAAGGAGAAAATTCAGATTTCCCGTCATTCCTGACTGGCTATCAGCTAGTTATAATATAGTGTATTTATAAAAATAAATTGATATTTAAAAAATTGCATATAAATTATTCAAAATATTTAGCCTGGACAAGGTATTTCAAAAAATTTTTTAGGGCCTAACCTGGGTAATTTAAAAAAAAATGAATTGTACATTGTGCCTGAGCTTAGGGCTGGACCTTTAGGTCTCTGATATATAACTGTAATAAATGTATCATTTATAAATTATTAATATTTATTTCCTTCAAATCGAATATAATACTAATTTACATTAGAGATCTGCGATGTTTGGCAAATAGTTGTTTATTTTGGTGTTAAGCAACATATTTTTTGGTTTAGGCCTTGTGTATAAAAAAAATCATTAAAAACCGGGCCGGGCAGTCTTAGTAAAATATTGAGATCGGGAGAATTTTGTCATTTGCAGACCTCTGATATACAATTACACTTATAAATATGAAAAATGCATATTTTATAACCTTATAGATGTTCCATTTTTATAGGAAGATGAAATTAGATAAATGGCAAGATTCAATATAAATTGTTGGGCCAAGATAAAAAGGATTGTTTTTAAAATAACACATTAAACAAAATATGTTATTCTATTTTATATCATTTCAAAAGTTATGCTAAAATTTTTTTTGAAGAATATAATTTTAGATTATACAAATTCTCCATCCAACACTTAATTGGCTTGGCAAACCTTGAAATATAAATGTACTTTTTATAAAATATAATTTTAATTATTAAAAAAAATTCTCCTACTTTATACCACTTATAATGGTTATGTTTTTCATCCTGATCAGCTGATTTTTTAAAAAATATATATTTTTTTATATAATACTTAATTTATGGAATATAGTATTTACATTTACAAAAGATATATTTATAAATTTAATTACATTAGATAACTTAGCAAATTAAAAATTTCGATTCTGTATAAATACCCAATTTTGAAAGTCACTTTTTAAAAAAAAATAGTAACGCAATCATCTTGAGTTGTATTATAATCAAGATTTTTATATATAAAATAATAAATCACGTAATAGCGCAACCGCAAATAGTAGGTTCAAATCTAAAAAATTAACATTAGGCTATATAGTCACCATAAGTTTTAATACATTAAGATGAAAGGGAAACTATCATATTTCGATTATGAAGCTTGAAATATCTGAATTTATAAAAAATTTATTCCTCCCTCACCGTGCAGTATGAACTTGAAAATTTTCGCCTCTATACATTTTTCAATTTATAACAAAAACGAAATATAAAAATTAATATAAATTAAAAATTGTAGGAAATCTATTGGTTAGGTGGTAATCTATACCACCTGAAATACATTTCCAGTAAAATCAGATTTGTTAAATAGAGAAATTCTTAAAAATTTACCATATGCGATTACTATATATTATATGTATGAAAAACGCGAAGTGACCTGACAAATCAATAATTTTTAATATGAATATTTAGGAATAATTTATATTAGAAAGCAGGTCCGGACCAAATATCACTCTAAAAAGGCCAAAAAATTAATTTTCTAAAATCCGACAGGAGCTGGTTGATTTTTAAAATTTAAATTTTACCAGTAAACAGTTGGATAATCATAAAATGGAGCATTAGTATTATTTATTTACGGCTCATATTTTCAATTTCTTTTTGAAACAATTTACAAAATACAGCCAAAATTATAAAAATAAAAATTTAGTTTTAGGCCAAGCAATAAAATGATCGAAAATAACAATTCAGGACAGGCCAAAAAAATCGGACCTGGCAGTAAATTTTGATGTTGACCTCAACAGTTCTCTGAATTAAATATCTATAGATCAATACGAATAATTTTTAGATAGGCTTATTGCTATTCTATGCAATACATGCATGTTCCAGTATCCTTTTTTTTTTAAATTTCGTTTTATGTAAAAATAGTTTTTTCGCAATGAAATTTCTTCTTAGTATTTTTATGTTAAATATAACAAAGATTTAATTAATTGAGAAGCCTTATTTATTTTTTTCAATTTTATAGATTCTTAAATTTTATAGATTTTTAAATTTTATAGATTTTTAAATTTTCAAAAATATCAAAAAAATATTATAAGAAGGAAAATAAATAATTGAATTAAAAAATGTTTCCAAAAATATTTTAAATTATTTTTTAATAAAAATCAATAGTTACCTGATTAATTAAAAAAAAATTAAATTTATAGATCTGTTTTAAAGAAACGGAAATACGAGTAGATCAAATTAGATTTTATAAAATTATAATTTTTATAAATGCTTTAATATATTTTTATCAAGTTATTAATAATTAAAATTATATAATTGCCCATTTCAGGCTCCACATTCATTTCACATCCATTTCTAGGCAAATTATAATTGTTTTTTTTGAGCGATGAATAGAAACAGCGCTAATATTCAAGGAGTAAAATCCTCTTCTGGATGGTTGGGATGAGATATGTATAAACATTACAATAACCTATAAAAATTCAAAAAAATAATTGTTAATTATTATGTTTTTGGTTTGTAATGTTTTTCTTTTTTAGAATATTGAAAAAAAAATGTTGCTTCTTGATCTACGGTTATGGTTAGGGTGGGGATTAGGCAATTTCTACGATTAGATAATTAATTATATATTTTTATAAAAAGATTTAAATAGTTTTAGCTTAGGGTATTATTTTTTTACAAATTTTTTTCTTTATTATGTTTTGTAAATATCCTTGTATTTTAAAAAATATATTAATAATAAAAATTGAATAACTTAGAAATAATAATTATTATTGATAACTTCCATTCCAGTCACCAATTTTTTAATATTTTTTTCATAATAGATATGATATAATATTAATTTAATTTATTTGCTGCTTCCATAACTATCATTATTCAGGTTGGTTGAAATATTTAATTATTAAATGGTTAAATTAACTATTTTTAAAGATATTAAATAAAAAATAATTGAAATTTTTAATAATTGAAAAAATCAACACGATAGAAAATATACTATGAATTATTGAAAAGCTTCTAATACACAATGAAAAATTTGAGTAAAATCCCGATGTCTTTTGATAGCCAAAAGAATTCTAATAATAATAGTTTTGGGAAAGAAACACCTACTCTCCAATCCTTGAATATATTCCCTATATCAGATGAGGACATTCCAAATATAAAGGATGCCATAATTAAGGCCTCACTTTTATATAATATGGACAGGCAAAAAAGTGCATCTTTTAATTCGCTTTCTTCCTTACATGAAGATAGTAATAATTATCCTTTATATTCCCAAATAGATTCTCAAAATTTTGGTATTCAGGAAGATTTTAAAAAGAGTAAAAGATTATATTCCCTATAAAAAAATTTAATTAAAATATTCTATAAAAAAATTATTGTAAACCAAAATTCTGTATAGCTAGAAATAATAAGGAATTCATTCCATGTCACAATAATTACTTTAAAATATTAATCAAAAAATTAATTTTAAATTTATCACTTTAATTAGGAAGATCGCATCTGTATTTTATATAAATTTTGATTTGTTTTCTTCTTTTTTTATAATTAATTCTTAAATTATAAGCAATAAATAAATATTGGTGGATAGAGTATAGCAGTGTAGACTTGATTTTAATATTATTAGATAATTTAATTATTTTATACAAGTAGAAATCTAAATATAATTTTATACATAAATCAAAAACCTTGCAGAGGTCAAATTTTAGGAAAAATTTTATTTACAAAGGGGGCCGTTAAAATTTTGTTTTAGCACCGGATATGTATTTTTAAAAATTTTACAGCTTAGTCCTGAATTTATAAAATTTCGTTATTTTAAATAATTTTATCTAAATTTTACAAATTGTTTCAAAAAGAAATTAAAAATATTAGCAGTAAACAAATAATAAACACTGTATTATATGATTTTCCAATTGATTAATGAATATAATTAAAATTGGCCCAGTCCGGATTGTTTATTCTTTAAAATTATTAAACCCGGACCGAATTTAAATAGATATACTATTTTCTCGCCTCTGTACGGGCCAAATTCCTAGCGGAACTTCAAGTCTCTGAAATAAATATACAGTCCATAAAAGTTTAAAGACGAAGGCTCCATAACTTACAATTCTTTTAATGTATTTTATCTATATATAAAGGAAATTAAAGAAAGTATTTATTATAGGTACATAATTTTTATAAAAAAATCGATAGTCATAAATACATTATATTAACTCATGTAAGATTCTTGACTAATGAGTAAAAAAAAAGGCAAATTTTTTAAGAAGTTAGTCAATTCTAATTTTGTATTGTCAAGATCCAAGATAAAACAAAATTCATAGAACTATTATAGCAAATATAATAAAATAATTAATTAAACGAAATATATTAAAAATATATTATCATGATAGCACAAAAAAATAATCAAATATACGATGAATTGATTTCGATAAAATTGAAAAATTATAATAAATATTTTTTTACCCTCAAGTGCTAAGTTTGAGCGATAGTAAAGTAATACTTATATGTTTATAATTAGAAATAGAAATAGAAAAGGTCAAACGTCGATGGCATACAAATTATACCCTTTTCAGATGGGTCCCTCTTTTCAAATATATTTATTTTAACAAATATTTTTATGTGAAAATTTGATTAAACAATTAAATGCGTTTATTCTATGGAATTGTTTATATTTGTAGATTTTTAGGATTTTTTAAAACACTTTCTTTAATAGAATAAGAAATTTCTAAGATTATTCTATAGAAATAGAAAATTAAAAAGATTTTATCAATTTGAAAGAAATAAAATAAAATTTTCTTCTGTATATCAATATTAAAGTAAAAACACAAAATTTTACCTGATCATATTTTCCATGGGTCAGGAGGCTATCCTTACCCCCCCCCCCCCTTGTTGACGCCACTGGGGAAAACGTAATTTAAACTTTACATATATAAACCTCGTGAGACACGAAGTATTGAATCCTTGCCTAACATTTTACAATAAAATATCCAGGAGATTTGAAGCCCGAAAGTTTTACGATAGTTTCTTTATAATTTTTGAATTTTATACATTTTGTCACATTAAATGATCATATTTTTTTAGTCCCATTTTGTTAATTGATAAAAAAAAAATAAACCATATAATTCAAAACTGTATAATTTTATTTATATCCCTATACGAATTTTCATAAAAATCAACAAATAGATATTTTGAAACATATATGCTTAAATTTATTGTATATAGGGGAGACTGGGGTTAGGTAAACCCCGGGGCTTGGCAAACCACTTAATCTCATTTTAAAATATACACCAGAAGGTTAAAATTTTATCCTATTATAGTTTTCATTAATATACATCTATGGACAAAATATATTTTGAAATAATTAGTTACTAATTTTATTAAATAAAATTTGACAGACAGAATTTTAATTTTTATTAAAATATATAATCATTCAAATGTAAATTAAATTTTATTGCAAAGTTTAAACATTCTTCTATAATTTGGGTAGTATTTATCAAATCTAGATATTATTTCAATCATGATTTGTCAATTTAGAGCTAGTGGGGTTTGCCAAACCATACACGTCAATTATGTCAGTTAGTAATGAAAAAAATTTCAAAATCTTGAAAAGGCAATTTCTTGGCTGTTTATGATTGGTATTTAGGATTTATGCTAAGAAATCTTAATCTTTCCTTAAAATTCATATTTTTTTATGTGTTAAAAATGTTTATTAAATTAGCCAAAATTAAGTTTCAATTTTTATATATAATTAGCTTCAATTTATAAGTATTATGTATGATATTTTGAACAATAAAATTATTCTATACATATCATTATTAATAAATAAAAATGCATTTCAATTTATTATGGCCTAAAAAAACCAATGGTTTAGGAAGCCCCTTGAAGTGGTTTGCCTCACCCCGTTATTGGGGCTTGTTGAACAAAATTTTCACTTTTACAAAAAATAAAATTTAAAAAAAATGTTTTATTCTTAAGATTTTTTTAAAGGCACCTTTATAGAGTATAGTTTTAGGTATCCAATCATATATTATTTTTTATATTATCTATAAAACAACAATAGCTATAGCAAATTTTGTAAAAATCCTTTACTTTTTATAATCTTCCCTTTCCTAATTAATCCCCCCCCCCCTCATTTTTGAGAACCTTCATACATTGTCAAAATATTATTTTCTCTAATAGAATTATATCAGATATAGCGAGAACTCTTTTTAGCGAACGATTTTTTAAAATATCCCCGTCGAGTTTAATGTAAAATAGTTTATACTTATTTATATTTTCAAAACTTTTTGATCATAAAAAAATCTAAGTTTTTTATATTTAAAAGATTTCTTTTAATCTTTGACTTCAATGGTAAAAAAATTTTCAATATTTATTCTCTTTCCTATAAAAAATTTTTTCCCTCTTATAATTGCTTGTATACTACCATTACATTATTATAATTGGTATTCTTAATAACTTACTTTAACATTTTTATTCTATTATTTAATTTTGAAAACAAATTCTATGAATTATTAATATAAATACCTAATAATCAATTAATTCCAAAATTTTTTTAATTCATCGAATTACCTGTATAATTTTTTTTTATTCAATAAATGATAGTAAATGGATTATTCTACATCTACATTATAAAAATTCAATTAATAATATTTTTGTTCATAACTCATTAATTCATCCATTTACAATTTGAATTTTCCAAACCTGACCGGACTAAACCGTAAGCAGAATGAAGTATATATGATTTAATGAATTGCGTGTATAAAGCCGTTATAAAAAAAATAATTAAAAAATGAACTAACCAGAGATTTAGAAAAATATTTGAACCAGTTTGAACTAGTTTATAATGGGATGTTTTCACACACGCAATAAATGTCTCAAAAATTTTAAAGAATTTTAATTATAAACAAAGCAGGGAAATAAAAAACTTTTTAATTAAAAAAAACAATTTATTGATTGTGATACAAGGTGATACAGGTAATAAAAAATTCTTGTAAATAATTGTGACCTCACAACATGATTTTCACCTTTGGTATATATTCAGGTTCGTGGCCATGTGGGAAGGCGATGATGGACAGACTCCTTAAAATTTTTTTTGGTACCAAACCGAGTCTATCGATAAAATTGGCTCCCACATATGCTCCCATTTTTCAGGTCCCCAAATTTTAAAAATATAATTATATTGAATTTTAATTAGCCAATAACAATTAAATCTAAATGAAAAAATAAAATTCTTAGAAAAATTTTAATTATTAAAATTTTATTTCGCCAAATTAATTGGTTAAACAAGAAAATACTTATGCAATTACTAATTAAAAAATATCCGTTCACTCGTTAATTTTCAAAAGAAATTAACAAACAATATTGGCCTTTTTTATTCCTCGGCAAAAAGACACTAGTGTTGTTGAATTCGCCAGTTCCCATGATGCTTTTTCTTAACCTCTTCTTCATGGTAATTCAGCAATACATATCAAATATTAAAATAATTAATTAAAAATAAAAAGAGGATGATGATTTTTATAAAGAGAACGAATATTTTTTTAAGACATCAATTTGCATATTGGAGTGTAAGTAATTGAGCCCCCCCCCTCAGGCACCAAGAGGTACTCAGGCGACACAATTAATTATTAAATTATTCAATATTTTCATTTTTGAAGTTTTTCTAATTGTTTAGAGAATCAGTAAAAGATAGACGAAAACAAAATTTAGTTTTAATGGTATATGAAAAAAAATACCCAAAATTTATCTTTTAATTGATTTATTTTACAATTTAATAATCAAATTCTTCATATTATATTATTATTTTGTGTATTTAGGGCCTTATGTATTATTATTAAATAATTAACCACCTCACTCCCCAATACCACATTTTGCCAGACTTATAGTCTACTAAATTGCAGATATTTACTTAAATTTTTTGTTCATTTATATATCTTGCTTGATCCACTATGCAAATATTATCTATATTTACTGATCAAGAGATTTTAAGTGATCTATTAAGCAATTATTGGATTTGGATTGAATTACATTAAAACAAATGTGTATATTAAATTTTAACAGATAACTGATTAATTTTATAGAAATATTTTGCAAAGCATTTTACAAATTTTATACTAATAAATAATTAATAATGAAATATGAGCATTTGAAATTGTGAAACTGAAATTATTAAAAAAAATGTTTTTTATATAATATTTAGCATCATATAAAATCTAAATATAAAGCATTCTAAAAATTCTTTAAAAGATATAAAATGGTTTCCCCAATGCCCGGACTAAAACAACAACTAATAACTACTTATAATTTTAATATATTACAAGTTTAA